CTGAAGGGGCATCAGGTTACTGTACCCAGACAACTTCCTGCCTGTCTTTTTGCACCTTGAGATTCTGGGAGGCATGAAAATCTTCTTAAGGGAGAAGTTAAGAAATTTCTCAAGTGAAAATTCTAAGACGTTTGTGAAAATGTTCAAAAAAGTGCAATACTTAAAGAATTCTTACATTTTCATATAATTTCTTAAGAGCATCTTATTTGATTGTTTTAAGAAGAAACTGACACTTTGTTGTTATCAGGGGCTGGACTCATGAAAATCTTCTGAAGAAAGAAATCAAGAAATTTCTTAAGATTAATAAAAAATAAATGTCTTTAATCCCCAGATTGTTTGGGGAAGTTTGTAAGAATGTATTCTTAGAAGTGAAATTATTACAAAATGCTTGTATGTTCGCATATGTATGTTTGTAAGAAAGTGTTCGATTTATTTATCTTAAGAAATTACTTCATTTTTAAGAACATTTTTCATAAATGAAATAAGTTTGTTAGAAAGTGTAACTGTTAAAGGGGTCATATGATGCGATTTCAAGTTTTCCTTTAAAGCTGAAGCTGCGATTATGGTAAGGGGCGTTACATTTCCGACGCGTGCTTGTGGTGTTCGGCCAATCACAATGCACTGGGTCAGCTGGCCAATCAGAGCAGACTGCGCTTGTCAAAGGAGGGGGCTTTGTTGAAAACGACGTGTTTGAGAGAGGCGGGGCATAGAGGACCTACAATAATGTACAGTATTTGAAAAATAATGTGTTTTTTGAACATTAAAGCATGTCAACAAAATAATGATCTTTAAAATAGCATCATATGACCCCTTTAAATTAAGAAGTTTTCAAATATTTTCTTAGGACCTTTTTTTTCTTAAGACGAAAATGATAAAACGCACTTGAAAAAGACTATTTGTTTTCCTACCAGATTACTGTAATACAAGCATAATAAGCACGCACAATATTTTTATTCCATCTGGCTTGATGAGAGTATTTTTAAAGAGTCTTTCTAAAGACGGCTCGATTTTAGCATTTAAGAACAATTTTAGGTTATCCTAACTTGAAAATATTACGATGATTTTCAAAATTTTTGTCTTTAGAACATTCTTAAGAAAATAGATAAGAACATTCTTTGGAAATGTTTTTGGGAATACAAAATATTCTTAACTTTATTCTTAAATTCTAAAATAACAAGGCAATAGCAGTTATGAAGACAAATGTGATTCTGGCTTAATTTTGGAAATAGATCGATTCTTAAAGTCAACTTGAAATGTTTGCAATCCATTTAATAATGAAATGTGACGAATGTAACTTGATTTATCCATCGGGAATTGATTGGATGGTGAAAAGTGTTAATATGTTGAAAATATAAGGCCTTGATGACATCATCTGAAAAGTAGTTTCAAAAGCAGAGCAAGTTGTATTTTGATTCCACAGTCAAACATCTTTGTTCAAAGAACAGCTCACATTGGATTACATTTTTAAGATGTCAGTTTAAATTTTTTGTCGACTTTTGCCTAAGTTTTCTTGCACTTCTACCTTATGTGCAATCTAAACTCTTGCCAGGCAGCTCCAGTGGAGTTCATTTTTCTCCCAGACTGCTGCCAGAGCCAAGCTGTGTGTTTTTACGAGATCTGTCATAAACTCTCTGGGTACTTGGCATGAACTAACTCTCTGCTCTCCCTCCCCAACAGCCCTTCCACCCCATGGTGAATTTGCAGTGCTCTCCAGACCTCAGGCCGTTCCTGTGTGCCCTGTATGCGCCCGTGTGTATGGAGTACGGACGGGTGTCTCTGCCGTGCCGGAGCCTGTGCACGCATGCCAAGAGAGACTGCCAGAAGCTCATGGACATGTTTGGAGTCACCTGGCCAGAGGAGATGGAGTGCAGCAGGTACTCATTCAAGACTTTTGGAAATTTAAGCTAGCTTTTGAGAGAAGGTACAAAGTGTACATTGCCCAGTGTGGCAGATGTAATTGCCACATAATTGCTCAGCATTTCTGAAGGCAAATTGTGCTGTAATGGTTGAACATGTTTATTCTTGGACATGGTTAATAGAAAATGTTTCCTGACTGAAATGGTGGTTTAAGCCAGTGGTTCTCAAACTGGGGGCCACCAGATGGCACTAGGGGGGCCGCATAGAAATTCTAGAATCTAGATTAGGAAATTATTTACAAAAATTATTATACCTGTATGTAAGTCAGGATTGTCAATTTATGTAAACTATGATGTATTTAAAAAATATAAATATTTAAAAATAATATCAATTATACGTAGCACACTACGGAAACACTTTGTTGATGTACTAGTGCACAGAACGGTTAGCCATGAACACGCTGATAAATGCTAAGACTCTTTAAAATGGATACGTTTTTAGATAGAGGATGCAGTGTCTCAGCTGAGAAGGTTAATACAGAAGAGCCTAGCGTGAAAAAAACCAAACTGCGTAAATTCGATAACTCGTACATAAAATATGGCTTTATGGAATATAGTGACGGCAGACCACAGTGCACCACTTCAAATCCACAGTGCTACATCTTCTACTATGGACATCATAAATTACTGTTCAGTATTCAATACTTTTGTTGCACTTTTCAGACAGTTTTTATAACAATTTGTTATATTTTATGAAATTTAAGAATTTAACAACAATTTATTTTTTTTTTTTTTTTTTTTTGGGTCAATCTAAAATTTTTGAGTAAAATTGTAAGTTTGAGGATGTTTTGCATCACGAGTTTTCTTTTTTTTTGGGGGGGGCACAAAAGGATTCACCCTGCACAAGGGGGCCTCCTGCTGAACTGGGGGCCACCAGATGGCGCTAGGGGGGCCGCATAGAAATTCTAGAATCTAGATTAGGAAATTATTTACAAAAATTATTATACCTGTATGTAAGTCAGGATTGTCAATTTATGTAAACTATGATGTATTTAAAAAATATAAATATTTAAAAATAATATCAATTATACGTAGCACACTACGGAAACACTTTGTTGATGTACTAGTGCACAGAACGGTTAGCCATGAACACGCTGATAAATGCTAAGACTCTTTAAAATGGATACGTTTTTAGATAGAGGATGCAGTGTCTCAGCTGAGAAGGTTAATACAGAAGAGCCTAGCGTGAAAAAAACCAAACTGCGTAAATTCGATGACTCGTACATAAAATATGGCTTTATGGAATATAGTGACGGCAGACCACAGTGCACCACTTCAAATCCACAGTGCTACATCTTCTACTATGGACATCATAAATTACTGTTCAGTATTCAATACTTTTGTTGCACTTTTCAGACAGTTTTTATAACAATTTGTTATATTTTATGAAATTTAAGAATTTAACAAATTTTGTATATTCAACATCAGAGAAATAAGGCTACAAACATCATTTAATGTTCCGGCATTGTACAAATTCATTTGTTTTTGGTACAATCTAAAATTTTTTAAGTAAATTGTAAGTTTGGGGATGTTTTACGTCATGAGTTTTTTTTTGGGGCGGCCACAAAAGGATTCACCCTACACAAGGGGGCCTTCTGCTGAAAAAGTTTGAGAACCACTGGTTTAAGCAAATGCAGTTGTTTGAGGGAAACCTTTAATCTCCAGCGAAAACCAGTCATTCTGAAGAGGGAAAAATGTGTGCGCTATTCAAACCAGGTTGAAATAAGTCTGCAGCATATTTCAGATTAATGTTAGCAGTCAAACACTCAGTGGTAATATGGAAACATACTTTCAAAGCAGTAGTTGTCAGAAAAGAAAGCATATTTTATTACTCCAGAATCAACCTTTTAGTAGGGTTGAGTGAAACAAAACTTGCAGCAATAAATTCTGTGCAACATTTCTTGTGATTTTGTATAATATGCACCTCATGGCCGTTTCAATCTCTTTACATACTAGTAAGTAATCAAGAAAGAGCTTGTTAGAACAAAAGTTGTGTCTGTCATGGAACTAATAATTAGCTTGGCCCCGCCCCCTTTAGTTACTGTTGCTAGCACTGGCTGTTGTTAATTTTCTTACTAGTACTTACTATGCTACTGGCGAACATGGGGAGAGAAGTCAGTTTGGGTGAATAATTTAATAAAATCTGGATTAAACATGCTTTATATTGCTCTGTTACGTGGAGCTGCGCATCATCTTCCAAGCCTTCTGCCACATAGCATTTTTAACACTATACTTTAAACATTACCAAGTTAATATTTAATTATTCTAGTTGATTTGAATATATTTTCTGTAAAAATATGTACATTGTGTATGAGCAGTGTAAACTATGTAATACATACAAGTTATATTACGAGACGTGACGTGACGTGACATGTGGCCAAGTATGGTGACCCATACTCGGAATTAGTGCTCTGCATTTACCCATCCAAAGTGCACACACACAGCAGTGAACACACACAAACCGTGAACACACACCCGGAGCAGTGGGCAGCCATTTATGCTGCGGCGCCCGGGGAGCAGTTGGGGGTTCGGTGCCTTGCTCAAGGGCACCTCAGTCGTGGTATTGAAGGTGGGAGAGAGCGCTGTACATTCACTCCCCCCACCTACAATCCCTGCCGGTACGAGACTCGAACCCACAACCTTTGGGTTATGAGTCCGACTCTCTAACCATTAGGCCACGACTTAGGAAACAACATCCTAATATTACCTAATAATACCCAGCCTTAATTTTAAATTTGATAAAATAAGTTAATAACATACTCTGTATTTTTATGTTTTGTTATATTTTATACTGCATTTTATATTTTATAAAAACTGGGGATGCACCAAGTTCGGCAACTGAAATTATTCGGCCGAAAATAGCACAATAATAAAAAAATGAGTGAAAAGACAGAATAAATTGTACCGAACAATAGGGTTGGGTATCGTTTTTTTTTTTTTCGATACCGGTGCCAAATCGATACTTTTAAAACGGTTCCGGTGCCTAA